CAGGGCTATGCTGCCCAGCGAGGAGGCAGCCTAGTCACTGTCTGCCTGCAGAGGCTTTGCTGAGCTCCTGTGGGCTCTGCCCAGCTGCCATGTGATCTTCCCTGCAGTCCTGTTTATATGGATGTAGTTAGAACTGCCTCGGCAATGGTGGCCCACCTCTGTAATGGCAGACTCAATCTGTAGTGGCAGGTTGCCTCAGCAATGGCCTGCTGCTTCAGCGATGTTGGACTGCCTCCATAGTGGTGGAGTGCCTCAGTAATGGTGGGCGCCCCTGCCCCACAGAGCTGGACCATCCCTGGTTCAGCTGTGCTTGCTGTAAAACTCTCAACCCAGAGCGTTTTCAGTTACTGTTTTTTTGGGGGGGGGTGGTGAGACCCGCTGATCCTGATCACCTAGCTCCCTGACTCAGTGTCTTTTTTTTTTTTTTAGTTGAATGGTCGACTCTCTCCCAGGTGTTCCAGTCGCCTGTTGAAAAGGTGCCAGGATCTAAGTGATTTCCCGTCCGGCGACTCAGCCAGCTGAAACAAGGTGCTGAGATTCCTAGCAGTTTTTTTTGCCCAGGAATCTCCTGGCCTGGCTCCCTATTTCAGTCCCCTTTTAAATCAGATGAATGGGTGATCTGTCTTCCTGTGGCTCCAATCACCAGCTAAGAGGGCACGCGGACCAGTGTATTTTGTACGGAGAACCGCCACACTAGGGCACTGGCAAAGCAGCCCTGCGGGCCAAAACAGCCGCACTAGTCAAAACAGCCGCGCTGGTCACCCGTGGGGCTCCTCCGCCTGGGAATCTACTGGTCTGTGGGCAATAAAAATCCATTTGGAAATGCGGCATCCACTCACCCTCTGCGCTTTCACTGGGGGCTGCAATCCTGAGCTGTTCCTACTCGGCCATCTTTCTCGCCTAGTTAATTTTTATGGGGTTTCACCGTGTTGGCCAGGCTGGTCTCGAACTCCTGAGCTCAGGCAATCCACTTGCCTTGGCTTCCCGAAGTTCTAGAATTACAGACATGAGCCACTGTGCATGGCCTAGAATTTGTTTTTAACCTGATTAAGGATAGCTGTGAAAAACCTGTATCAAAATTCACATTCAGTGATGAAACTTTCGCAGTATTCTCTCTAAAGTAGTATTCCAGTTATTATTAATAAGGTTTATATTAGAATGATAGCCAGTGCATAACACACACACAAAAGTTAAAAGCATTAAGAATTAGAGAGGTGTTTTTTAAAAAACTGTCATGATTCACAGGCGATATGATTCTTCATAGAAATCCTAAAAGAATATGGAAGCTTATTAATTAAATTAATATTAATAAGGTGAATAAATGATAAATTTTAAGCAGATTTGCTGGATATAGGACTAACATATACAATTAATTAAATGTGATATGTCAGCAACAAAAAAGATAGCACTTACAACAACAAAAAGTAAAAAGTACTTAGAGGCAAATCTAAATTTGTGTAACCTTTATGGAGAAAAATATAAAAATGTGTAAGGATCATTAAAGAAGATATAAGGAAATGGAGACAAGAGACCAGATTATGGATAGAAAGGCTCGGTTTCTTAAGGATGCAATCTCCCCAGTTAATCTGTAAAATTAATGCAATTCCAATAACAAATCTGGCAGGGATTTTTCTGTCCTCAAAAAGCTGATCCTGAAATTTACATAAAACTGATGAGGTGTGGTGGTGCACACCTGTAATCCCAGCACTTTGGGACGCTGAGGCAAGCAGATCACCTGAGGTCAGCAGTTTGAGACCAGCCTGGCCAACATGATGAAACCTCATCTGTACTAAAAATACAAAAATTAGCCAGGCATAGTGGCGGGTGTCTGTAATCCCAGCTTCTTGGGAGGCTAAGGCAGGAGAATTGCTTGAACCCGGGGGGTGGAGGTTGCAATGAGCTGAGATTGCATCACTGCACTCCAGCCTGAGTGACAGCGAAACTCCGTCTCAAAGGAAAAAAATAAAAATAAAAACAATAGACTATAAAAAAAAGTGAAAAGTCAATGTGATAAGTCAGTGTGGGAAAAGATATTTATAACACATATAACAGGCAAAGCATTAGGATTCAAAATGTATAAAAGATGTCTTCCAGATCAATAAGAAAAAGACAAAACAGGAGAAAATTTGGCAAAAGATTAGAAACAGGCAATTCATAATTTAAACATATAAAAATGTCCAACTTTATTAGTAATTAGATAAATGAAAATTTAAAAATAGAATACTATTTCATATTAGTCAGATTGACAAAAATTAAGAAGTCTGATAGAGTATTAGCAAGGATGTAGAAAAAGAGGAACATTGCTGATATGAAAGTAGATTGGTTCAGCAACTTCAGAAAACAATTTGCCAATATATAGTGAAGTTAAGATGTTCATATCTTACAACGCAGTAATTCCACTCGTAAGTATATATCTGAGAGATACTTCAGACGTGTACAATAAAAAAAAAAACACGAATTGTTTTGAGATCTCTCAAAAACGTAAATTAGTTCAGATCACTTCCTTGCTCAAAATCCTTCAAGGCTGAGATTAAAATTCAAAGTCCTCACCAGGCCTACAAGGCTTACCAGTTTGCTTCTCTACCTACCTTTCTGGCTCTGCTCTCCCTCTTTCTGTTCCAGCCACGATGAGTTTGCTGTTTCTTGAACAGCCTCTTTTTCACCCTAGGGCTCTTGGACTCATCATTCCTTCACTTCCTCAGTGTTCCCCTAGTTTTTATTTTGGCTTGATTTCTGGCTTCAGCGAGACCTCTGTTGACCACCTTTTCCTTCCCTCCCTCCCTCCCTTCCCTTCCTTCCTCCCTTCCTGCCTGCCTGGTTCCTTCTTCCCTCCCTCCCTCCCATCATCTATCTTCCTCCCTCCCTCCCTCCCTCCCTCCCTCCCTTCCTTCCTTCCTTCTTCCTGTACATATTAGATGTACATATTTGGGGTGCATGTGATAATTTGATACATTCATATAATCAAATCAGGATAATTGCCTTAAATATTTATCTTTTTTTCATTCTAGGAACATGTGAATTATTCTCTTCTAGTTATCTTGAAATGCACAACAGATCGGGGTTAACTATAGTCACTCCACTAATCTATCGAACATCAGGTCTCATTTCTTCTAAGTATGTATTTGTAACCATTAACAAACGTCTCTTCATCCCCTGCCCTTCCTGGCCTCGGATAACCATGAATCTACTCTCTATCTTCATGAGATACACCTTTGTAGCTCCCACATATGATGAGAACATGTGATATTTGTCATTCTGTGTTTGGTTGCTTCCATCTTTTCTAAAATAGCTGCCAGGACTGCCTCTTCTACCCCAACCCTGCCAGTCCCTTTATCTCCTTTGGCTGGTTTATTTTCCTTCCTGCCTGACATTATATTCTATATACATTGCTCCAGCATTTATTTCTGTCTCTCCTACTAGACTGTGAGCCTCCCGGGGGCTGAACATTTTCTGTCTTACTCATTGTCGCATTTCCCAGTGTATAAAATTATGCTTGCTTGGCACAGGGTGGGTGCTCAATCACAGCTCTTCCAATGAGTGAATGAATTGATTTGCATGATAGTCAAGATACGTCAATTTTGATGGGAAGGAAACACTTAGATGACACAAAGAGTACTTCTTGGTAAAAACAAAGCCATTAGAGTTATGGATGCATGCAAAGAATTCGAAGAAGATTGGTTCATAAAGTGTAAAAGAATATTCTTCAGAAACAGTTTGATTATGTGAACTAAGTTAATAGATTAAACACAAGTAGATATCTGAGTATTTCATCTATATTCCTATAAGTTTGTATATTCAGGTTGATCAGAAAACTCTTGGGACTGTCCCTTGGGAAACCTTATATTCAGGTTGTCTGACATGTTGAGTTGCAGTACGCTGGAGCCTGTACAGTCATTCTGTCTGCCAGGCAGTCATTCCCAAGTACCCAGGGTCAGACCCAGCCCCAGGCATAGGGCCAGGGGGTAGCAAGGACATAGAAGGGAAGGGAGTCAGGCACACTGAGCGTCTGCTGTGTGCCAGGAACTCTGCCTGGGTTTCTCTCTCACCAGGGTGACTTAGGAGCACCCCTTCCTGGGCTCAGGCAAGGAGCAGGCCAGGACTCCAGGGCTGTTCAGCTCACTCTGACTTCTCCAATCCTCATTGCCCCTGCAGTTCTCGGAGATGTTCTTTGTGTCCATCTGCACCTCTGAGTTGGCCATGAAGATCTATGTGGACCCCACTGAATACTGGAAGGATGGCTACAACATGCTGGATGTGGTCATCTTCATCATTATGTTTCTCCCCTATGTCTTCCGCAAGTTCCTGGGCAAACAGTTCACTTACCTGCATATCACTGATGGCATACAGTCCCTGCGCATCCTCAAGCTTATCAGCTATAGCCGGGGCATCCGGGTGAGTGCACTGGGGGTGCCATGGTGCTGGGAGGGCAGGCTGTAGGCCCATCTGCCACCGAGACCCTGAGGAAATTATGACTCTACTACTATCTTCCAGTTATTGAGTCCAACATGTGTGGCAGGTTGATCTTTACCAGCATTATCTCAATCTTAAAATAATTCTAAGAAAGGTATTCTTAGCTCCATTTTACAGGTGAAGAAATTAAGGCCCAAGGTCACCCAGCAGTGAAATGTCAGAGCTGAGATTTGAAAGGCGTATCTGACTCCAGAGGCCGTCTGAAGTTTTCCTTTCTCTCATGCTGCAAAGTGCAAAGATTTTCTTATGTGACACATCCTTTGAACTACATGCCCAGGAAGCCTTGGCTTTTTGGTGGTCGAGGCTGCTAGCTGCTTTCCCCAAACAGCTGCAAGTCTGCTGCTGTCTTGCTGGGAATAGTCTCTGTGCTACATTAGGGTGGCTCCGGAAGAGCTACTCCTGCTGAGAAGTCTTCCTGGGTTGCTGAAAACCATGGAGTGACCAACACTTCCTTGACTCAGAAGGCTTCAGAACGAACCTCAGGGCTGCCCGCCTACCCTGATCTGTGCCCCAGACACTTGTCCTGCACATAGTAGGTTTGCTTGGCTCTGGCCTAAGAGGAACTGGGCATCCCTCTTCTAGGACTGGATTTCTGCAGATTTCTGGACCGCACATGAAGAGAGCCCGCCTGGATTGTGCTTAAAGAACTTGGCCAAGGCCAGCTGTCATGGGTCCTATATGGGGCTTCCAGGAGAGCATGGCTGTTCCTCTACAGCTGCTCTCAAGGCCGCTCAGCTTGGGCCTCAGGTGGCACCAGCTCGTGGGGTGGCCTGGAGGTGGGAGCCCAGCCAGGCCTCTCCACAACCCTTCTGCACAGGCTTTGGGTTCTACCACCCCGTGTTCCTCCCTTCCCGCTCAAAATGCAATCTGCAGACCACATCTCATCACAGCTTTCCTCATGAGGATTTACTGCTTTCATCTTAGTAGTCCTTGGGAAAGAAATCCTGCCTCTGTTTAGTGGGGAGGAAGGCTTAAAAAAAAACAACTCAGCTCTTTTGCAATTAATCCAAAAACATGAATTTTCTCTTCCCAAGGAGAGATGGGAGGCATCTGGTGTCATTCACCCCTGCAGGCAGCGCCAGACCGTTCCACATGCAGGGCAGCCCAGGGCCCTTGGACTGTCCCTGTTTCCCAGGTTACCCCAACTGTCAAAACGGTACTGTCTTGTTTCCTAGCTCTAAGGACCTCCTTTCCTAGTACTAAACCAGTGAACAGTCTCTGTGCTCAGGGTCATTAGTGGCTGAAGGTGGTGGTATGGGGCAAAGGCCTTGAGAGTTGGTCCCAGCTCTGCCATTTTATCGGAGTATGACTGTGGCCAAGACAGTTTGTTTCTGTGAGCCTCTGACCACTCGTTTTGAAATGGGAAGAATGATAACACCTACCTGCCTTGAGGTTATGTCTGTGAAACGTCTGAGTAGATAAACATCCATTGAGTGTCTACTGCATGCAAGACTCCAGAGCAGGAAGGCTGAATGATAAGGTGCTCCCCAGAAATGGGCAATGTAGTGGGGAGATAAGAAAAATGCCCATTTCACATGGGGCAGGACTGAGGTTACAAGACAGGGACCTACCTGTGAAGGCAGGGCTGACAACGACCAGGGAGCCACGTTCCTCTCGGCCCTCTCTATTCTCACTCCCAGGGTGTTTCCCTTATTCCTCCTGGGCCTGGAGCAGAGATCATTCAGGGCTGGCCCTCAGCTAAGAAGCAGGAGCAGGACGCCCTGAGATGACCACACAGCCAGGTTGGGGTTCAAGTGGTGTGGTCACCTCAGACCTGAGAGAAGTGACTTAGAGTGTCAGACATTGGCAAAGCACTGTTAGATTGATCCAGCTCTCAATCTGGGCACAGTTCTGATTCACTTCATTAATTCATTAGTTCATTCATTCAGCCAACCAACTAACTGGCATGGCACCAGTTGCTGGGGACAGCTGTGAACTGGGCAGAATGGACCTCTGTCCCTGGAGCCTGCCCAGCCCGGCACCCTCACCTACCACAGTGTCCCTGCCTTGCAGACGATGATCACCGCCGTGGGGCAGACAGTCTACACCGTGGCCTCAGTGCTCCTCCTGCTCTTCCTCCTCATGTACATCTTCGGTGTCTTGGGCTTCTGCCTATTTGGATCTCAAGACACGGGTGACTATGATAACTGGGGGAACCTGGCCGTGGCTTTCTTCACCCTCTTCAGCTTGGCCACGGTACTGTGTTTGGGAACAGTGGTGAGGACAGGGGCCTTGGGAAGGGATGGCCCGGGTGGTGTGAACGTGTGGACATGTGGGGCCTCACATGGGGCTTGCTTCATGTCCAGGTGCTCAGCTGGGCCCAGGGAAGCTGAGGTATGTTCCCCATCACAGGCCAGCCCATCACATGGGCTCTGTCGCTGTCTCTAGGCCTATGACTCCTTAGAGTGCTTCCACATGTCTCACAGGGTGATCAAACTTTTCAGAGTTCTCAATGATAATTCATTTGGGTTAAGTTTAATTTATAAATGAAACCCATGTCACGTAGCCTTTTGAGGAACAGGTTGTCACAAATCCACGTAGAAGAAGCATGCAAAACTCAAATCTAGATTTCTAGATTTGGACTCTGGAAAGAGTGGGATCGTTTTAAAGGTGGGACTGGCAGAGAGGCAGTCTCTTTCTGGGAAGGTTGGGAGGCCTAGAGAAAAGAGACCCTGAGGCATGTTGGTCAGTGGTATCCCCACCCAGGGGTGCCCTGCATTCCCAGGCCATCATGTATGTGCTGGAGCCAGTGGATTGGGAGATGCTGAGGGACTGACATGGAAGCAGAGCCACCCTCCTCCTCAGTGGGGCTGGGACTCCCCTAGCATAGGCGAAGGTGAAGAGGAGGCCTGTGCTGCTGGGCCCGGGGCCCTCAGCATACCCTGCCTTGCCTGAGCAGGTTGATGGCTGGACAGACCTGCAGAAGCAGTTGGACAATCGGTCTTTTGCTTTGAGCCGGGCATTCACCATCGTCTTCATCTTGCTCGCCTCTTTCATCTTCCTCAACATGTTCGTGGGTGTGATGATCATGCACACAGAGGTGAGGCCATGGCTGTGAGGATCAGAAGTCAGGGCAGGTGTGGCAGCTGGAGCTATGGGGCAAGTCTCCAGGGACGACCTGGAGCTGTGTCTTCCCAGTGAAGTGGAGTAGAGGTGGCTGGATGGGCCTGTCCCTCACCCGGCCCAACTCTCCTCCCTGAGCCCAGTGCATTTGCCTTGCCTGCTGATGGTGGTCAATAGGATGGTGGGGCTGAGGGAGCCTCTGCAGCTGCAGTTGGCAGCTTGAGTGGGGGCTGGTCCTGTGTGGGAGAAGTGATCCTGCTGAGGACCTGAGCAGCAGTGCAAGGCTGGGGAAGAGGAAAGACTGGGTGTGGGCATGCAGCGAGAGCCCACAGTTGACCTCCATCTTCTGACCCTAGGACTCCATCAAAAAGTTTGAGCGAGAGCTGATGTTGGAGCGAAAAACAACAATCATGGAACAGAAGCAGGTGATTCTGCAGCGGCAGCAGGAGGAGGTCAGCAGGCTGATGCACATGCAGGTGAGTGGCCCTACGGGAAGGTGGACAGATGGGTGGACGGATCGTCAGGCTCATGGGATGGCCAGGAGGAGGGGCTCTGAGGCCTGGGTAGACAGCAGGTGGCCTCAGGCGCCTGCAGCCTTAGGTAAGATAGCCGCCTTCCTCCCATATTTTATAGAATCAGCCTTGACTGTCGGCACTTTTGTGTTTCTCTGCACCTTTCAGTGTGTTGAGTGCTGTGATTATAATGTCTCCCGCTATTGGGGGCAGAACTCCACTGCTGGGCCCTTTGGGGCCAGGCAGTGTGTGCTGAAGCTTCTTCCTGAGAGCTCGTGGGTGCCAGGCAGCCATGGCCCCAGGCCACTGAGTGGACAAGGATGCGGAGGCCCTGATAGGGTACCAAACAACCTTGGTTTTGTCACGTACCTAAAACCCAAACAAGAATGAGCACAGCAGACTGGAGATTGTCTGTCAAGCATGATGCAACCATGAGGGAGCAGGGTAAATTTTCCCTCTGAGCCTGAGTGCTCTGAGCCTCCCATGCTGAGCCTCGGGTGCTCTGCTGGGCCTTCCTCCCTTGGTGGGTACATCCCTTCTCGACCTCTTCTCTGAGGTGGAGACACGCGCCTGTCTTCACTGTGCCCAAGGTTTGTCCGGGGCTCGGAGAGGCTGCGTGGAGTCTCACTTGGACTTCATGTGCCGCCTTCCTCAATGGTGGTCACCTCACTCGGAGGTCCAGGCTCAGAACGGGTCAGGATGAACTTGTGGTCAGGCTGAAGCCTCCTCTCAGGGCCAGGGTCAGGCCTTTGCCTGGGGCCCATCCTGGAGGGTCCTCATGTCTCTGTGCAGCTCGGCTGTCACCTCCTCATCACTGCTCTCTCATTATGCTTTCCTCTCTAGATAAACGCTGACTGCAAAAGTTTCAGTGAGTTGGTGGAGAACTTTAAGAAGACCTTGCGCCACACTGACCCCATGGTCTTGGATGATTTTGGCACTAGCCTACCCTTCATCGATATCTACTTTTCCACTCTGGACTACCAGGACATGACTATCCACAAGTTAGTTCCAGCCCCAGCCTTTCCTGGTCCCTGGGGCTTCCTCGAGGTCGGGCTGTGTCAGGTGCCCTGGGAGAGTGAGGGGGATGATGGCTGATGTGCTGATAGGCAGTGGGTGGGTGGAACTTGGCTTTCTTGGGGTGCAGGATTCCATGTGTACATTCCATGGGCTGCTGTGTGGACAGGCCGTGGCTGGGGGAAAATCTGCTCCCCCTGCCCTTCCCCAACCCATCTTGACTTGTATGTAAATGCCAGCTCCTTAAAGTCTCTAGGCCTCTCCTCACTCACCCCTTTACAGAGCACAGAGGAAAGACCACTGGGTGACCTCAGCTTCTGGCCTGGTTGTGCCACTACCTTCCTGTGTGGCCTTGAGCACTTCTCTGCCCCTTTCCCATCTGTCACAGGAGGGGCTGCTGGGCTGATTCAATGAAAACCATGTATATGAAGCTGTGAGCTTGACCTGGCCCAGGACTTGTGCTCAGTGCGGGTCAGCTGGGATTACGAGCAGCCATTATTGAGCAGGAAGGATGTAAGAATCTGGCTGTGGGTGCCAGGGAGCCGCAGTGGGCTCTTCAGCGAGGACAGGTGTGATTCGTCCAACTTCTCAATGAAAGCTGCCTGGAGGGCTTTAGAGCTGGGAGGAACAAAAAGGAAGGCGTTGGGGAATGCCCACTTTTGACCCAATAGGGGGTCAGTCACTGTCTGGGCACCCCCATGCAGTTACTTCTCTCACAGCCTAAGAATTTATTTCCAATGTGATATGTGAGGTAAAATCCCCTGCACCAGGGGGCCCCAGGAAGAGTGGCAGATCCAGGATTCCAACCCAGCCTGATCTGGCTCTGAAGTTGTGCCCTTCTTTGACCCAACACCTGCGCAGGTGCTAACGTGTGGTGAGCGGGGCCTGGGGCGCCGGGAGCCTGACCCTGACCTCAGATCTCGTCTCCTCCTGCTCCATTTTTCAGGCTTCAAGAGCTGTACTATGAGATTGCGCATGTGCTGGGCCTGATGCTGGAAGACTTGCCCCAGAAGCCCCAGCCCTTGGAAAAGGTGGATGAGAAGTAGCTGGGCATGGGGGCACCCATGTGCCGAGGGCCTTGCAGACTGTGACAGATCCCTATTAAACACAGGCTTTCTGAGTTGGCCTCTCCAGAGTGGCTGTGATTATGGCATTTCCCCGCCTTTGAGAGTTAGACCTGGATAGGTGCTCATGAAGTTTGATTCCCCAGAGCGAACCCCAGTCCCGCACCACAGGACATGCAGACCTCAGGAGTAGGGATAGGGAGGCTCAAGACTTGTCCTGGCCAGAGGCCACATCCAGGGGCCATGCTGGCTCTAGGTTCCCTGGACCTAGCAGCAAGGGACTGGGGAAGCTGCCCGAGGACCATAGACCAAGAGGGCCTCCAGCTGTCCCCTGAAGCACATGGTCCGCTTGAGCTGGTGTGGCCCTGCTGATCTGGGTGTGGGTGTTCTCATACTGACAGAGTCACATCTCTCTCTGTGGACCACTGCTACAGAGACCCCTCTTTGGAAGGCTACTCTCATTTCCCCTAGGCTCACCCCAAGGGGTGCAGCTAAGACTGGCAGGATTCTGTTGTGTGGGCCTGGAGCTCAATCTGGGGGAGTAGCCTGCTGGCAATGCCAGGGCACTTTGCACAGAGCCTGGGAAGGTGCGGCAGCATCAGCACTTTGGGCTGCTGCCTCGTATGTATGGCTAGGTGGCATTTTCTCTGTCATTCCTGGCCAAATGACTACTAGGGCCACCAAGGTCCTGGCACCTGTCTGGCTTGGCCATGATGGAGCAATCTGAAGGCCCCAGCAGTGTGGGGCAGTGCAGCACAGGTGATACTCCTTACTCCAGACTGGCCAGCCCAGAGGCCTGGCAGTGCCCACTCCACACCATTGCTGCGGAGTATGCCTGAGGTCTGTCACCTTGGCAGTGCCATCTCAGACAGAGGGGGAGGTATGTTCTGTGACTGGCACCTATAGCTGGGTGCAGAAAGGCCCCGTACCCACACTGGGCATTCAGGTTAGCAGAAAATGCATGGGGTAGAGTGAAGAGCTATGCTGGGGGCTGGGGCTTCCATGACGAGAAACCCATGGTCTCGCTCTGGCCCTCTTGGTGCTCATGGTTGTGTAGGGAAGACAGTCATCCCACCACTTTTCCTGAGGAAGTGACAATAATTGAATTCAGGGTCAGGGGGCTGCGTTGAGAGAATCAGGGCCACGTTGGGAATCATGAAAGCAGCGTGGAAGAAGGATGGCTCTTCAGGGTGAGACCTATTGAGGTGCTGTGGGAGAATCCTCTAAGGGCAGGAATTGCAGCCTGGCCACTTCCTACATGGAGACAGCATTGTGTCCATGCCCTGAAGGTGGCCTGGGGTCCATAGGGTGTTTGTGCCCCTCCTGGCAGGGAGAGAGGCTCTGGGTCTGACATGTGCAGGGGATGACTCCAGGCTTCGGCTTCCACGGGTGCTCTTGTGGGTGCAGCCCCGTTAGCAGGGCAGACAGGGCCCAGCTGATGGCTCTAGTTCAGGGCCGGGGCAAAGCAGACATTGCCAGCTGCTCACACAGGGTGTGCCAACATAGCCATGGGAACGCTAAAACATATCCAGCTACGCTCATCAGGAATCCTGGGAATTGCCCTAGGCATCTGAGAGTGAACAAAAGATTTGAAAATTGGCCTCAGTGGGGCAAGGTAGAAAGTGCCATGGTTTTGGAGTTGGGAGACTTGGGTTCCCTAATAGGGAGACCTTGGGCAAAGTGTCTAGTCTTTCAAGCCTCACCTATTTCCTATGAGAAATGCAATGATAAAACTGATTGGCTACAAGGATCAAATCTCCGTAGGCGTGTGAGAAAAGAGGCAGTCAGCTCATGGTTCACCCTTCCTCACTGTCGGCCCTGCACCTCTGCTGGGGGCATCTATAGTGGGCTGTGCTGGACAGGGGTTGAGAGGGGTGAGGTCATCAGGGCAGTGGTGGGAAAAGTATGGAGCTGAGAGCAGGATGCAGAGGTCAGGAACCTGCACGGGGGTGTGATGCGTCCTGAGATGGAGCTGCTTCAGAATGGGCAAAAGGCACGTCAGATCTGGAAGGCCTGGGTCCCATGCCTAGGAAGGCAGCCTTTGGGCACAGCCACCAGAGTGTGGTGTGGGAGGGTGCATTAGTCCATTTTGTGTTGCTATGAAGGAATACTGGAGGCTGGGCAATTGAAAAGAAAAGAGGTTTATTTGGCTCATGGTTCTGCAGCCTGTCCAGGAGGCATGGCACCAGCACCTGCTTCTGGTGAGGCCTCAGGAAGCTGCTACTCGTGGTGGAAGGCAAAGCAGAGCCAGTGTGTCATGTGGTGAGAGAAGGAGCAAGAGAGAGGGGAGGAGGGCTGCCAGGCTCTTCTAAACAACCAGCTCCCGTGTGAACTAACAGAGTGAGCTCTCACTCATCATGGAGTGGGGGCACCAAGCCATTCATGAGGGAGCTGCCCCCGTGATCCAACACCTCCCATTAGTCCCCACCTCCAACATTGGGGATCCCATTTCAACATAAGATTTGGAGTGGTGGACACACATCCAAATTATATCAGGAGGCAAGCTGCCTTTAAGGGCACAAGAAGAAGGCTTTTAGAGAGCAGAGAGCTGGTGGGGGCAGAGGTGACGTGCACAGGGCCGGCCCAGCAATGCTGGCAGAGCAACCTGATGGATATTTGGCACAGAGTCCCAAAGCAGCATTTCTGTTTGGCTCTATTCGCCTGCAAAGCAAACACTGGCAGATTGGAATTCCCACTTGGGCTCTCACCAACTCAAACAGGCTTGGCCAAGACCTTTAATTGATTTGCTTGGGGCAGAAGTGGCTCTGCTTACCCACGCCTGGCTGTGGAAAGCAAGACCTTCCTCACTCTCCCCGGACCCTGGGATCTAGTAGGGTTGACCCTGAATGGCTCCTTCATCTTCAGCCTGCCAGCCTGATCGTTTGGGGGCCATAGGGGGAATGCAGAAGACCCGGGGCCGAGACTTCTGGTCATGCCCAAGCCCTCCCCCAGTTCTTGTGGGAAGGATCTGGAATTCAAGGCTGGAGGTGTTGGGAAGGTGGCCGGATTTTCTTTCTTTAAAACTGCTTTCTGATTCCACCAGTAGGAAGCAGGCCCTGTATTGTGGATATCCAGGCAGTGACTGAGAATGTGAATGCTCCTGTCCATTCCAATAGGCCCTAGAAATCTGATTCTGAGATGCTGGAAACTGTGCCCCTTGAGGCTTTCTTTGAATCTTTAGGACACCTCCTAGAACAAACTGGCCTTCAACAGGTCAGGTCTGGCTCTCTGGGCATCTCCACCTGTGTCAGGCTTTGTCCCTGACCCCACATAGGTCTGCTGTGTTGTCCTAAAGGCCCTCAAGAGAGAAGATGGCTCTGAATTCCTGACTAGGCAACTCAGAAAGAAGAGGTGGTTGTTCTGATTGTAGTCACAGGGGTTGGAAAGAGGGAAAGGAGGTAAACGCGATGATGTAAAATCTGTCGACACATGGGGATCCCCACTCTCCCCCATACTGTGCCACAAAGAATTTTGTCTGTGTTTGGTCAGCCATAGGCTGCACCTGTCCCAGGTTCTGTTTGACTTTATTGTAGCTCTCTGTGATGTGGCATTAGGGAATGGTGGAAAGCCCGGCCTGCAGAGCTGGAGTGGAGGGAAAGGGGAGTATTTTTGCTTTCTCAGCCAGCTTCATCATTCTCCTCCATGCTGGTTAATCAGGGTAATGGGCAAAACAGAGGGAAAGTTAAAACACCAGCAGAGCTAGATGGATACACAGCAGGGAGCCAGGACGAGGGAGGGACGAAGGAAGCAAAATCTGGGGGCTGAGAGCCTGGGAACGGTGGACAGCAGCTATGACACAGCTGGTGTGTGTGCCCTGGAGAGGACCAAGGAGAGGTTAACTGTCCTGGTGGGTCAACAATAGGATCCCTATGGGTATTCTCTGATAGAGGCAAATGATGATTGGAATTATCTTAAAATTATTTTTGGTTGCTGTACCTTTAAAAAATGAAGCCCATGGATAGATTAGACCATGTGGAGTCTGCATTATATTCGGGTTATATAAAAGATCACCCTGCATAATAGAGACCTATTGGGTTAACAGTGGGAAATGCTAAGAGGGCTTTCCATGGACTGAGCCCTTAGCTGGGATCAGGGGCCTCCAGGTGAAACATACCAGAGGGTGGTGGCACCAGGTATGATTGTTTTCTTCCAAAACGAAACTAAAGTATCAGAAGGGAAGTGTGGAAGAAGCCATAAGGAGATGAAGAGCCTATTTCAAAAGTCTTGGGAAACTGCAGAGTGACTGGGGCCTGAGTGAACTGGTGATGGGACCATGGTGGTGTCCTCACAGCAACAGAACCTCACTGCCCTCCAACTTGGCATTTGGGGACCACTGCCCCTGACTTCCTCTCTCTCCAGTGCTACTTCGAGCCTGGGATCGGGGCCTGAGATAAAAAGAACTCTTTAAAACTTGAGGCTGGAGCTGGGCATGGTGGCTCACACTTATAATCTCAGCTGCTCAGGAGGCTGAGCTGGATCGCTTGAGGCTAGGAGTTTGAGAGCAGTCAGGGCAATGTAGTGAGACCCCATCTCTACAATGTAAAAAAGAGAAAAAAGAAAAAAAAAACTTGACACTGGCCCAGAGAAGGAGGGATCCAAACAGAGGTCAGGCTACAGTTTCAGTGGCATAGCCTGTTCTCCTTACTGACTGTGGAAATACTGCCTTCTGTTTTGCCAGTGTTTCTGTTTATAAGATCTTTTTACATATATGACTTCAATCACTTAACAATGCATATTCCCATTAAACAAGTGGCAAAACTAAGGTTCAAAGAGATGATGTAACCTATTCAAGTTTATACAACTAAGGGGGAAGAGCCGGGATTCACAACCAAATGTGTCTGGCTCTTTAGCCACTCTGCCGTGGTGTCACCCAACAATCTTCTGAGGAATTGTCCCCCTTTATAAGCGGAGAAGCCAGCTCTCAGAGACACACTGGGCTAAGGTCATCATTAAAGGGCAGAGTCCGTATTTGAACACAGGTGCCTCTGCACTACTGCCTCATAGCGACCTTGTTCTTTCTTGTTGAAGCAGCTATTTTTTCAACTTTAGAAACCAAGCCATGATTCC